TTTTTCTTTATCCTTATGAGATACAGCTTCTTGAAAACTCTCTGGTTCTCCATCTTTAGTTAACAAAAGATATTCAGATGATGTGTACCTTGTCGATGGTATATGCCCTCGTTCAGATCTACGAACAGTAGGAACCATCTGAGAAGAGCTACCATCATCTGTGTCTGACGAGGTGGGTTGTGTCTCCCCTTGCTCTGCACTCTCCTCTATCTCCTCGTCTTCTTCTGCTTCTGAGTTATCTTCACGCACTTTGTCCTCTTCTGGTGCTTCATTTATAACTCTAGCACCCTCATTTGACTTTCGTGACATTGTGGGTTTTTCAATGTTTTCCTAATTGTCAAATCTTCATGGAACACAACGTCTCTACTTCTGAACACCTTTTTCTCCTTAAGATCCCATAACCTGTATCCAAACTCTTCATTTCCATAGCCAACAAAAATGCATGGGATAGTTCTTGCATCGAGCTTCTGCCTGAGCTCTTTGGATACATGTGCATATGATGAACAACCAAATACTCTAAGATGTGAGTATATAGGATCCTTACCTGTCCATAGCCTCTCTGGAACTTCAAAGTTCAGTGGTACTGAAGGTGATCGGTTGATAAGATAGCATGCGGTGTTGACTGCTTCTCCCCATAATGACTTCGGAAGTTTAGCCATATTTAGCATACTCCGGACACGCTCCATGATAGTCCGATTCATTCTTTCAGCAACGCCGTTGTGTTGAGGGGTGCGTGGTACTGACTTCTCATGTCGAATGCCATATTTTCTGCAATATGCATCGAACGCCTTGGAAGTATACTCGCCTCCATTATCAGATCGGAGACATTTCAACTTCTTTCCTGTTTCACGTTCCACCAAGACGTGAAATGTCTTGAAGATCTCGAACACCTGATCCTTCGTAATCAGGAAATACACCCACACTTTCCGAGAAGCATCATCGATAAAAGTCAGAAAATATCTGCTTCCACCGATTGATTCCACCTCGAAAGGACCACTGACATCGGAGTGTACCAAACTTAACAACTCTGATCTTTTAGTTGAAGTAGAACTAAATGATACTCTATGTTGCTTACCAAACAAACAATGACTGCAAGGAGCCAGTGCAGCGTTCTTGTCGATGTTGATAAGGTTCTTCTTCATCAAGGTAGTCAACCCTTTCTCACCGATGTGGCCGAGTCTCAGGTGCCACAGATTCTGAGAAGTCTCCTCAGCAATATTGAGGCTATCCGTACAAATCCTCAAATGGGTTTTGTACAATGTGCCACAAACATGTCCTCGAGCGATTGTCAAAACGCCCTTTGACATTTTCCAAGTGCCCCTGTTAAAGTGGTTTTCATACCCTTGTTCGTCAAGACATACCACTGACAGGAGATTGAGTCGAAGGTCTGGAACATGTCTGACATCCTTCAAAGTGATTGTGCTCCCAATACTCGTCTTTATTTGTACATCACCAATTCCAGCTATTCTAGAGGAACTGGAATTGCCCATCTTCACTGCTCCAAAGTCTCCAGCTTTGTAAGTTGTGAAGTAGTACTTGTGGGGAGTAACGTGGTAGGATGCTGCAGTATCTACCACCCATTCAGTGTCCTCTCTTGAGACGTGAAGGCATGCTTCATCATTGATAGTACAATACGCCACATCACCTGAGATTGTGATGAGCGCTTCACCACCCTTGTTCTTCGCTTGAGAATTGCTCTTGCCTCGCTCCTCTAGCAATTTGTAGCAATTCTTATTCATGTGACCCTCTATACCGTAATGGTGGCAGGTATAAGAAGGTTTCCGGCCATCTGATGATCTCCCCCGACTTTTGCCTCTGCTTTGCCATTTCCCTCTACTGTTTCTTTGTTTTTTTCCTTGTGATCTTCCTCTATTCTCTGTCACAAGGGCATGAGTCTCATCTGTGCTCATGTCTTTCCTTCTTGCCTCCTCATTGAACAGTGCATCCTTGACCACAGACATGGTAAGTTTGCCATCTGGGGCTGAGTTGCTGAGAGTAACAACTAGTATCTCCCAACTATCAGGAAGGGAACTAAGAAGTAATAGAGATTGCATTTAATCTCCAAGTGGCATTTCTACACAAGATAGTTGATTTACCAGACTCTGAAATTGACTAGTATGTTCGGCAACGAAAGTTCCACTTTTGAGCTTCATATTGACAAGACGCCTCATCAGTAGGGCCTTGTTCCTAGCGGTCTTGGCCTGGTACATATCTTCTAACTTCTTCCAAAGGGCATAAGCGTCGGTCTCTTGTGCAACATGGTGGAAGACACTATGGTCAATCCATTGTCGGATTTGACCAATAGTTTTTCTATTAACAAGATTCTCACCCGTGCGATGCACGGATGAAAATTTACCAATGTGTGATTAAGAACTCTATTATAGAAATGCATATATAATTGAATTTAGAATGAAGTGGTAAGTAATTTTTTTTTGACTGTAGTGGTAATTAAAACATGGTCGAAGAACCAAAAATGTAGATACTGCAAAAGAGATACTCCGTAGAATATTTGAAATTACAAGTGACCATTTGTTTTTTCTGTAAAAATATTACTCATTCCTTCACCTCCGGCTGGTGTCGTGCATTTTGAAGAACTGAAACCAATTTAAACTGGCCGAGAAGAATAGTTAGTATCGACCCTGTAGTCAACATTTTCGGTAGAATAATAGAACAAAACACAAATTGATGTGTTTTAATTTAAAACACAATTTTATTTTTAAAAATAAAAAACACAAAATGTATAAAAAAATTGTCACACCAAAGCACAATTTGAAAATATTAGCTTCATTATTATAAGTAAATAAGTAGTAAGTAGTAAGTATTTAAATAATTAAATAATTATTACAAAATTAATAAAACAAATCATCAGTAAAATGAGCGATTGATAAAACATGATAAAACATGATAAAACATCAACAAAATATGGAAACTTATAAAACAGCTCCCTTTTAAAAAAAATGTTAACAGTTCGATTGGACCCCAACCCAACAAAATGACCCAACAATCCATTTTAAAATCACCATTTAATACGTAAGCTACCCTACCCATCACCCACGTATATAACCCCCTTTTGACCAAGGCCTACTCTACGTACTATCCCCATTCTCATTTCTCAACTCATCGGTTACAGCTTGAGACCGATGGTCTCCAAACGCATTTTTGGCCGCCTGAGTACGTTTGTTCAATTGTGGCCTTAAATCGAGTTGTTGAGACTTGAGACGTGATCTTAACCTCGTGGTTTTCAGAAATTACCCTAAATAGGAGTAAAAACGTTTTGAAATTCCAAAATAGGAGTATCATGTTTTTTATTCCCTAAATAGGAGTAATCTGCCAAGTTTGGAAAAAAATGCCATGTTTAAAGCCTTGTAATTTCCAAACTTGGCAGAAATTTACTCCTATTTAGGGAATAAAAACATGATACTCCTATTTTGGAATTTCAAAACTTTTTTACTCCTATTTAGGGAATTCTCTCCGTGGTTTTCACCGTCAGTGGATTCTGACCAAAATAAAAGTTGTAGTGAATGTATCCCAGTCGTTTGGTATATATCTTTACCTTTAATTCGTCCTCAATCCTTTTTGAGATATTTTGTTTTTGTGAACATTTTTCTTGAAGCATATCGTTTTGGTGCATAGTACACGCCTATTTTTACCTATTTTCAGCCCTTGTTTTAGACCGTTTCATCAAAGTCATTTTTCGAAATGCATGTCTTGTATTAATCATTTGATCTCTTGATTTTTAATAAATAAATTTGTATCGGTTATGTTCTCTAGAAGCCAGACCTGGCGAAATAAGATATTTGTGTTTTAATGACCGATGCACGTGATTTTTTTGGGTGTCGGTTAAGTAATTTCTTTTATGTAAAGTGACAAATACATACTCGTCTCTAAGTATTGAGATTTAAGGTACAAATTGCCATACAACTAAATGGGTTTTGAGAATTTTTACTGCCTCGTGTTATATGTTTTAAACCGATCAAATACATAACATATTCTATTTTCATTATATAATGTAATATAATATATGTTATATATATTATAGATATATTATATATTTAATACTTATGGGATATATACATAACATATTCTATTTTCATTATATATTATATATATATAATATCTACTGTAAACTGTATAATAAAGCATATGCAGGGGCGGAGCTAGAGCACTGGGCCGATACAAAGAATATTTTTTGAAAATTTTTTACACAGAATTTTTTACACTAAAAATACAGACATTTTTAAAATTTGGGCTGGACCAGGGCCAGGAATGGCCCTCCCCTAGCTCCGCCCATGAGCATATGGCATAACCAAGTAAAATATGGCATAATATATAGTACTCCGATCCGTATAATTAATACTCCCTCCGTCCCTGAATGTTGTTCCAATTGCGGATTACGAAGGTTGACTGACGATAAAGTTAAATGATCCCTGTGAAAACTCGGATTATTTTTAGTAAATAAAATTTACATATTCAGAAACTACATTAAACCCGCTACAAAGCCTGCAAAAAAAAATCAATTTTCATAAAGTTTTAATACAAAAAGTAAGAGTTTAAGAGTGATTTAAGTTGACTCTCGAAAAGGGAAGTAAATTTAGGGACAGAGGGAGTACAATACTCCGTATACATTAGACACATTTACACACATAAACTACACACATACGAAGTACATGCATGATAAAATATACGTTAAACTACCTTTTTTGTTTTACTGAAATTATCTATCTAATACCCTCTTGAAAATCCTAATCTTCTTCTACTACCTGGATTTGGGTGGGGCGGATAAACTCCTGAATTATAGGCATGGGTTGAGGCTTTGTAAGTGTAGTATCACTCACCCTGAATTTTCTATTTCATTGAAAACCGTATTAACCTTTATTTTTTACTTGAACAAACTAAACTGTGCCTTTTGATGATAGCATGTATTTTCCTGAAAGGAAATACACCAGTTATAAAAAATGATAAGACCTGTTAAATTTATCGAACATGTTTTGGATGAATACCTCCTCATCATGGAAGACAATTTGCATTCGTTGTCCCATTTGGATTGTGGTGGCATTTCGTATGCTCGGATCACTCCTTGATGAGTGATCACATTACAGTTGTGTTTGGGGCCATTGCTTTGAGTTTGGTTGATGTAGTGTGGTGGGAAGCCAAATGCGAGAGCCTATTTATAATGCATTGGGTGAGTTCTCTGTATTGGTTGAGTCTTAATAAATTGGGTAATTGGGTAATATCCAAAAGATAAAACTGCAGTTTCCAACCGATCTCCTTTCAATTTTAAATTCAGATTGAACTATTCCAACTGCAAAATTAATTAGAAAATGGAAAAAGCAACCAAATTTGTAATTGTTGTCTATGAAATGATTCGAGATGCATGCTATAGAGTGGTGAATTGGCACTGCATTCAATGCTATGAAAAGTTTTGAAATGACATTTATACTTAATTTATTACTCCGTATTTGTATTCCATTGCAAGAAAGGAACACTTCAACGTGGTCATACTTGCTCCATTCCAATAATGCAAAAAGTTTATGAGAGGATAAAGAAAGTTTAGAAATGATGGTTGGTTGCATTACATCAACTCCGCATTAAATGTGTGCAGCTTTCTCCTAACCCGTTCAATACTTCAGCTCACACTCTTTCCCATACATGTGCTTAGCTAAAAAGTAACCCAGGTAAATGGGCGGGAATTTTGGCTAGCATTCCACACCGATAGAGAGATTTTCTTCCACTCCGTTGACTTGGTCGGGTCAGGATTAATACCCTTCATCTCTATTGGATCAAAAAGGTCTTTACAACTAAGGAAATCTTCCATCCGAGGTTTCCATAGCATGTAGTTGGTAGCCGTGAGCATAATCATAGCTCCGGAAGATGAAGTTGACTCGTCAAGGTCATTTTCACCTTCTAAATAATTTTGATTTTCTGTTTGAGAAAAATGGGAGCAGAATTTCGAAAAACGGGCAGCACCGAGATTGCAATTCCGAGAAATATTGAAAAACTCGATTTTTCAGACAGTAGAATTTTATCTGAAAAAATCTGGGAAAAATATCAAAAGCTCAACCTGGCTCTGATACCACTTGTTGGGAATAACAGGATCGTGCTAATATGAGAGAAAAACACTTCTATTACTTTCAAGAATAGAAAGAAGAGACATACAAGCTCTAACTAAAAACTCTCAAAACAACACCTCACATATCTCTCAAGGATATTCACAGCTCTTCTTGATTGTGATATGATGATCTATTCTAATTTACTTGATGATAGAAAGACTCTCCAAGCTCTCTATTTATAACACCAACACTAGGTACTATGAAGGTGGGAGGAAGGTGGGATTAAACATGAGGAAACTTCAATGGTGTTTGAGGAAGCTCCCTTTGTCATTCTTGCACATGGAGGAAGCTTCATGGTTGTTGCTTGCACATGGAGGAAACTTCATGCTGGTTGCAATTGAATTCTTCTGAACATGGCCAAATACTCCATTTTCAATGCATATGCCCTTACACCCTTACACTTACATTTTAGCCTTTTTATTAGTTCAATGTTGTAATCAAAGCATCGATGTACCTTGAAACCCTCATTCCAGGTTTTTGAAACTACTAATCTAATAATTTGAACTATTATTTTGTTTTATCACATAAGTAATCAAATTTACTACTAATGAATGAGTTCGCATTGCGTCAAACTAAGGGGGTGTTTGGATCTCATTATTGAAACTGCTTCTGCTTTTCCAGGGAGCAAAAGCAGAAGCTGGAGTGTTTGAGTGAAAGTGTAGAAGTGATTCTGGTGCTTTAATTTACTCCTAGAATAAGTTTTTTTAGAAGCTGTGGTGACCAGCTTCTGAAAACTGATTCTGATTCTGCTTCTGCTTTAAAAAAGAAGCAGAATCAGAATCAGTTCCAATTATACTGCTTTGTGATAACTGATAGCAAATAGTTAAGAGTCCAGCTATTGAATAACACTAATCAACATTCCATATTGTAAAAAAGAATAAGATTGAAAGAAAGTCATCATAATAAATTTTGTTCTTATTTATGCAAAGTTATCCGAAAACAGGGGTAAGACTGCGTCCATCGATTCCCCTTACTCCACCTTAGGTGGGAGCCTTTGCGGCTTTAATTTGACAATTAGAACAGTTTCCAAAATCCATAAGACGACAAGTTCATTTATGCACCAAAGTAACACCAATGACTTAAGTCTCGAACCATTGTTAGGCGTAGAGATAATGGGTTGAAATGTTGTAGAAAAATAGTTAGTTGGTTATGCACATTCTTAAGGGTGGCCAACACCAAGAACTTTATTGTCGACTGTGATTAATTTTTGTAGCCTTTGGAGAATAAGAGGTAAAATAGGTAATAAATTGGAGAAAATTTAAGGAATTGAAAGTAGTCTGGACTATGGTCAGATTCGATACCTAAGCCTAATATCAACAATTAAGATATTTGAGATTAGAAGAGCATAAAATGTTGCAAAAAACGGGAGCAAGACTATTTACTTATATATAATTTACAAATACTGAGCAAAGAAAACATATGTAAAAGATAAATCATTTTTTATTTTGCTTGCATTTTATTTTGTACATTAATTTTTTTAATAGTTGTAGCAGCCAGTGCTGGCAGTGCATAATGGCTGAAGAAGTTTCACATGCATTTGACCTGCACAAGAATCTAAAAACAACCTATAAGCTACCTAAAAAATTGATTGTAAGAAAAACATTCTTAAAAGATTCACTTCCAATGGTTAATCATCTTAATAAGGTTAATAAGCAATACCTACAATTGACTAATTGAGTTTTGAAACCATATACTCTGACCATTTTGTATCACTCTTCCCAAATTCACTAAGTAAATCTTAATAGCTAGACACTGCCTGTTTTTCTTTTCTTTTCAAGCAAGTAGACGAAGTCTCATTGCATCCCATTTGGATTTCAAACCCTCCAGCTTTTTGTTAGCACCATCCACCTCAGCCTCTCTTGCTTCAATAATGCAAGCCTGCTCCTCAGCAAGAGCACACACTTTCTTAGTCTGTTTCGACACTTCTCCTCTTTCCACCTTCAGTTGCCGCATATCGCTTTCAATTTCTTCCAGCTCAGTTTTTAATTCCTTTTCTCTCCTAACTAGCCCCACAAGTTTTCTCTTTATCCCTTCATCCGTTTTCACTAAATCCTCTAGAAAACGCTTCGTCTGCTCAAAAGTAGCCCAAAGATGCTCACTGCCCCACTTGACTTTACTCAAGTCCCTCCATTCCCGCATCATCTGAGGAAAAGAAACATTCAAGCTCAAAATCTCTTCCGCCTGCTCATTGCTGAACAAAGAAAGATTGTTAGCGATTATGGAGAGCGACTCCAACATTGCAGGTTCATGCTGAGGATCAGCCAAGTCCTCCAAAGGGTATGCTATCAGCTTGTCAAAGATTTCTTTGGCAGAAGTTGCACGGTCTTTAAGCAAAGGAACTTCACATGGAATAGCACCGGATGCTAAGTTGGACGGTGACTTGGGTAGTGACTTGAGAACAGATTGAACCCGGGAGTACACAGATTCCACAGGATCAAGAGCAACAGCAGAAGAAGAATCAATAGCCTGATCAATCCCAAAAAGAAATAAAGAAGAGTGGGTTACATTTAGAAAAATACTCCGTATATAATTAATATACAACTCATAGACAAAAGTACAATCACATGGTCACTGCTGTTAATCCAAAATAGTCAAATACCAGCTTGGTCACTAATGCATAAATAAATGACTGTGGTCACTCACTCTAGTCACTCGGGGACAAAAATACCACCATAGTAAAAGTCATAATCTTGCCCACTACTTCAAAAAGATACTTGGCCATATAGCATGTAGGGTTTAAGTGAAGTTTACTTGATAAGGGGAAACAGGAGAAGTAGCAATGTTCGTCACACATGAAGAAGCATCAGGGACATATACTTCAGCTTCGATCAGGCATGAATCATTAACAAGATAACCTTCAGCTTTGTCATGAAACTCACGAAGTGGGATGAATGAAGTGAAGCCCCAGTCACTCTCGTGAGCAGTGAAAGCATGTTTAGTTTCTGCACAACGATGCAGAGAAAACAACAACTAGAGGATAGAAACAGAATTACAACAATCATTGGTCACAACTACTCACTCTACATAATGATATACCTTTCTTGATGGTTTTCTTTGGGTCTAGCTGGTTAAGAAGGGCTAGACTGAACTTTGTAGGTATACGCCAACCATCGGGTAAGCTATGCAGGTCAGGCACACCTAGGTACAGAGACAAATGAGCTGTGTCGTTTCCCCTTGGATAAAGCAGCAACCTCCTGCAGAAGCCAAACATACTTAGAATAAAAATTGGGAGCTGAATATACAATATTTAATCTTTCTCATTCATCTCCACTTAGAGGCATACCACTTGTACTCATTTACGTCATACACTGAAGAGTAAGGCTTCTCAACATCCAAACGCGAGAAGTTATCAATCCTCCATCTAAACTTTGACATTAGATAGTCATTGGTTGGGTCACTCTCTGAAACACAGACACATTCCTTAGTTCAGCATATACACACCACATTATAAACATATTAAGCAATCCACCATATGTTACCAAGGCAAAAAGCACTTCCCGTATATCATTTTCCTCTGCATATGGTAGTTTTTCATACCCGTTTCTTTACTTTCCTAGCATTTTCCAGGATTGAAACATAGCCTAAAGAATCAAGGTCCATGTCCCCCAGGAAAATACTATCTCAAAAATGTTTCCGAGCCCTACGTACAAAGGAAGTCCGGAAAATATTTCACAGAAAACATCTTCGCTTACACAACAAGTTTTCAAGGCATATCTTTAACCAAGTAAATTACTCCTCCACACGTGCAATCTGTAGACTAGAGAATGTGACCTACATATGCGCCGGAGACTTATTGTTTCTAAAACGGAGAAATTGGCAGTGGAATGGGAAATGGGAGAAAAGGGAAAGCACAAAAACAAAAAGGGTACCGATTTTTGGTCTGGCCAGAGCCGCTAACCGCTCACCGTTGTTAATCTCACCGGATTTCCTCTTCACCATCGATTTTTGCTCAGGCGGAGTTGGCGGAGGCGTGCTGCTTCTTCAGCTTAGGCTTAGGGAGAGGGTGACGGTGGCGATCTTAGCGAAGGCGGTGGAGACGAGTGAAGGAGAGGCGAGTGAGCGGTGAGGATGGAGCTGTTGGACGGAGGGGGAAGAATATTGTTGACCGCCTTTTTTAACTTTTTGGCAGGTGATACATTTGTGTTTAGGATAATGAGACATGATACGGAAGATATTGCAGTGTCCTCTGGAGTACTATTTTGATGAGTGGCTGGTATTCCAGACGAGTCCGAGTAATGACAAATAAATTCAGGTATGGGGATACATTCTCCCAAAAAGGATTGATAGCGACGTAACGGATAGTCCCTTTCTTTGCCTTTAAAGCATTTATTTAAGCTGAACGAACTATAATTGTACGTAGTAACAAAATACGTGTTTATACGTGGTCGACGTGGTATTGACTATTGAAAAGCTCTTTTGTAGCCTCATTTGAATGATTATGATCTCAATTCCTTAAAATATGATTTGTTTTAAATTTTTCTATCTCAAATTTTAAGAGTCGTCTGGTTCTAATCTAGTTTGAATTTTTCCGCTGTCATTTTTTTCTGATCTCAATTGAATTTTGATTCAAATATTTCTAATCTAATTGAGTGTATTATTATTAGTATTACAATGAGAGATTATCCTAAATAGGAGTAATAAAGGTAAAATTGCAACAAAAGGTGTTTAAAGTTTAAATTATCAAATGGGAAAACTCTTCCTACTCTAACCTTTCACTTGTCATTCTTTGTAGGATTTTTTAAATAACAATAAGAAAACATAAAAAATTGAAAAAAAAACATAAAAATAAATAAATAATGTACACGCCTCAACCACCACCTCAACTACCTTCAAGGCTTCAAGCGCCGCAACATACGGTCACCGGTAAAGAATGTCAAGTTAAGAGAATGTCATCATGATGGCAATTTAGAAAAGAGAGCTGAATATTCCAGAGTAAAAAATTATTTTCATGACATTTTCAGAGGAATGCAACACTTTTTCTAGCGGTCGAAGCTGTTAGTGATGAGAGGTGGCTGATGCGGCGGCATAGGCCTATATATTTTTTACTCCCTTCTTACCATATAGAGATTTTCGATTCGATTTACGATGTTTGACTGACGATAAAACAACTTGATTTCTGTTTACACTCTGATTATTTTTAGTAAATAAAATTTACATATTCAGAAACCACATTAAAACCGCTACAAAGCCTGATAAAAATGTAAATTTGATAAAAGTTTGATATACAAAGAAAAAGATTAAGAAAGATTTTAGTTGACCATGCGAATAGCGGGTTGGAACCTTTGAATGAGACGGAGGTAGTAATATTTTTAGGTATTTTATTTTACTTTCTTAGAAATTTAAAAGTTTTAATATTATTATTATTTAATATTTTATTTTACAATTTTTATTTTATACTTTATTTTATTTTCCCTAGTTTTTACTAATTCATATTAATTTGTAAATATTTTTTATTGTTTCTTTTATTTTTAATATAAATAAAAATATGATTTTATTATCAATAAAATAAATTTATTACAAATTATATATAGGAAGTCGAATAACAAAAAGAGATACTCCGTATATATTACTCACATTTTGGGAATAAAAGAATTATAATCCTATTGTTACATTTAGGGCTGTTTTTAGTCCTTTTTATGGCTAATAGCCCTATATATTATTACTCCTCGTTTGTAATATTTGGTCTCTTACTCCGTTTTTTACATTGTTTACAACTCGTGCATTACTCTTATGTGAAAAACCTACTACAACAGTAAACTAAACTAATGAAAAACCTACATATTCTTCATTAGTAGAGCAACCATTTTATTCCAAGTCCCACAAGTTTAATGGATAGAGACTATATGAGCTACAACTAACTCATAAAAGTATCAGACCATTTTCTCCAAAAATAATGCTCCAATCAAGGGGTAGCAATATTTCACAACAAAAAAGACATGAACTCCCTTTACGATCCATAAAGGCTCAAGTAGTGAGCTGGTTTGCTTCAATGGCATAATTAACTGGTCAATGATGGACCAAAGTCACTTAGGGTATGTTTGGGTGTTAGGTTTATGAGAGGAGGGGAAGGTTTAAAAGGGCTTATGAATCTCCCTTTCTTGTTTGTGAGTAAAAAATTGGAGGAGAGATTGTGGAGGGCTTTTCTAACCCTCCAAATTTAAGTTCCTCCAATTTGGAGGTTTTTGAAGGAGATTAAATTAAATGATAATTTAGGTTAATTTAAAATGAATACAAGTTTAACTATTTGAATTCAATATTAGTAGTATAGTAGTATATATATATCTTAAGCGATTCTAATTATAATAATTCTCGTGATCTCTCTCTTTCCAAATTCATAACTTCACAAAAACAGGAGTTTCTTGCACATTCCCTCCCCTTCTCTCTCATGGCTTCAAGGCTTCAAACTCTCAAACATACCTTTAACTACATTCTAGTCATTAAGTTTTGCTTGTCCAGAAAAATCCTACAAGGCATGTATCACTACTTGGAAGACACATCCCACCTTTTTCTCAAATAAAGAGATGTCTTGTTGCATCAAACTCTGACTTCAAATTGTCCATCTTTTTGTTAGCTCTATCCAAATCCATCTTTTTGGCTTCCACTTTTCTAGCTTGCTCCATAGCAAGAGAACAAACTTGCTTTGTCTGCTTTGACACTTCTTCTCTTTCCTCCTTGAGCTGTCCACGGCTGCTTTCAATTACCTTCAGATGAGCTTCCAATTCCTCTTCTTTGTCACTTAAATACTTTAGTTTTCTCTTGATTTCCTCCTCCCTTTTCACTAGATCTTCAAGCAAACTTTTGGTCTTCTCAAAAGTAGAACAGATTTGCTCACTACTTTCCTTAACTTTAATGGAGTCTCTCCATTCATGCATGATTTGTGGAAAACTTGCTCTCAAATCCATAATTTTTTTGGCCTGTCCATCGGTAAACAAAGAAAGGTTGTCACTGAGTATAGAAAGGGACTCCATCATTGTAGTTTCACGCTTGGGGTCAGCTAAATCATCCAAAGGGTAAGACAATAGTTTGTCAAAGATTTCTTTTGCAAAAGTGGCATGGCCTTTGAACAAAGGTTGCATTTCACATGACACATCATCAGATAATGAAGTGAGAGGTTTCTTGGGTAGAGAATTGAGAAATGATTGAGCCCGAGCATACACAGACTCCACAGATTCAAGAGCCTGATCACACCAAGAAATGAAAAAAAATCGTTTAAAGATACTGGAAAACATACAATACCATAGGCAATATATATAGGATTTAGGGACAAGTTACTCTATCTGTTGAAGCTGGAGAAGAAGAGGGCTCAGACATGGATACTTGAAATTCAATCAAACATGTGTCATCAACGAGATATCCACCAGTTTTAGCACAGAATTCACCAAGTCGGGAAATTAACACTGTTATCCAATCACCAAGTCTTGCATTGAGTTGATATTCTCTCTCTAAGTAAAGCAAATTTAAGCTTTAGTAGAGATTCCTGTTGAATTCATATCCTACCATTGATTCTTGCATCATAATAGTGAAAAAAACAGCGAAAAAAACAGCAGACCATAACAAATAGATTTCTTGCATCACAAAGGATATAACTAATAAGCCACAAATCAGAGCCAGTTTTTAGCACGATCAAAATGTTCTACAAAACAGGGCCTCCCAATTTCTGCGGCCCCAAATTTTAAAAAAATTATTAGTATTATTACATAGTAATAATATACGTAGTATATAAATACTAATCAATAAAATAAAGTTTTTTGTGAGTACGTTTACTCGTGTTTTACTTAAATTGATTGAGTGATGAGTTGTGTTGTTTTAAATCAAGTACTCCCTCCGTACCGCTAAGATTGTCTCATTTTACCTTTTCGGGAAGTCCCACTAAGATTGTCTCATACCAAATTTGGTAAAAATTGTGTGGCTCTAAATCATTCTTACTTTATTCTTACTTTATCAATTTAATATCAACCACACAAACCCACTTTTCTTAATAATCTTGCCACCTTCTTCCGTCTCAATCTTAGTGGGACAGAGGTAGTATTAAGTTATTCTTAGAATTTTTATTATATTATTTGATGAGTATTGAGTTGATTTCAGTATAAGTATTTAGATTGAGTTTAATTTTTTTAATTTTTACAGTATATTAATACGGCTCTGCCGGCACAAATACATGATTTCATTGTTTAATTTTACCTTTCTTGATGGTTTTCTGCTGTTCATCTGATTAATAAGAGATAGGGTTAACTTTGCTGTTCTTCCCCGCCCACCGGTTAAACTAGATGAATCCATCACGTCAAGGTACTCCGCTCCATTTCCTTTTGCAAAAAGGCTCAATCTCCTACAGAAACAGAAGGAAAAGGGTAATAGTTGTGTATGGAAGTGTATAGTAAAGAATAAAATTACCCCTAGTGAGTGTGAGATGATTTGATGGTATCATACCAATTGTACTCATTTACCGTAAACGTCCTAAAATAACGCTTTTTAACTGATAACCTCGTCACATTTTCTACTCTCCAAGTGAATTTTGAAACCAGATCAGCCTGGGGGTGTTTTGCTTCTGCAACATTAACACGCAATCATTCAGTAAATAAGCAAAATCAAAATGTCTCGGGGAATGACAGCTCTAACAAGAAACAATCTAATTCAAAAGAGAGGGATGAGCAAGTGCAATGCTTTTATCCTCACACCTTCCATGATGAAAGAAATGAGGCAAATTGGAACGCGAAACTGCTAGCCCATTCCTCGAGCACTCTAATACTCAACTGAAAGTATTATGCACAGTCAGAAACTAACCCGTCAAGGATAAAAAATGAAATTAATTACTGATTTGTTTCCCGTATCAATACTCAAACCAGAATTACAATTTTGAATGTCGAGTTCCAGACCAGTCGGCGAAGCCTTTCGTCTTCTTATTTGGAAAGACTCAAAGAAGGATGGAAACGACGAGTCTCTGAAGATGATTAATGCAGGAAGTGGGTTAAGACGTTGAGTATTGGCATCTATAATTAATCATAATTAACTCGGGGATTAATTAAGTAACATAATACTCCGTAAGTTAATAACTCTAGGATTCCTTGCAAAAAAAAACTCTAGGATTTTACGAACTTTTCTTTGTGTGTTGTCTAAAAATCTTTCCTAGTTTATGTTTTAAAGTAGCTATATTAATATTCTCCTTCTTTTTGCAATATCTTTTCTATACAAATCTCAACAACACTGATATCATTGCCAGTTGTTCTTGAAAAGCAAGAGATTTTTTTAGAATAGTGCAACGAATTTACACACTCTTTGCTAATTCTACAAAAAGATGGCAAATTTTAAAAAATAATGTGAAGGGAGTAACTCTTAAATCCTTGTCAACCACTCGTTGGGAAAGTCGCGTGGAACGTGTCAAAGCAATAAGGTTTCAAATAGTGACATTCGAGAAGCCTTGCTTGAATTGGCAGAGACAGACAATGATTCTAAAATACAAAGTGAAGCTAGATCATTAGCTATAAATGAACTTTGTAATTTTGAATTTTTGCTATCCACAGTTATTTGGTATGAAATATTATATGCTGTGAATTTGGTTAGCAAAAGTTTGCAATCAAAAGATATGCTTCTTGATGTTGCTATTGTTGAAGTGAAAGGGTTAATTTCTTTTTTTGAGAAGTAAAGAGAAAGTGGGTTTTCGAGTGCTATGCAGGATGCTAAAGAAATAGCCATTGAATTGGAAGTTGAGCCGGTGTTTCCTTATAAACGTGTTATCCGTAGAAGAAAGCAATTTGATGAGAGTATTGGAGAATCTTCTGTATCATCCACGACAACAACGGAAGAACTGTTCAGGCTGGAATACTTTGTCTACATAGTAGATCAGTCCATTGGCTCGTTGACACGGAGATTTGAGCAATACCAAATGTATGCAAATATGTTTGGGTTCTTGTTCTGTTCTGGAGAAGTTACAATCTCTGAGTGATTTAGACTTGAAATCTTGTTGCACTCGTTTACAAACAGTTCTGCAGAGGGATGCAAAATGCAGTAATATTGATGGCGATGATTTGTATATTGAGCTAAAATTGCTTAGAGAGGTTTTGCCAAAAAAAAAGATGGGAGCAATAAAAATATTGAATTCTTTGAAACAAATGAGTTGTTTTCCAAATGCCTTTATTGCATATAGGATATTGCTAACCATTCCTATTACGGTTGCCTCAGCAGAACAAAGTTTTTCAAAGTTGAAGTAGTGGAAGTCCTACTTGCGGTCAACTATGTCACAAGAGAGACTGAATGGATTGACGTTGATATCCATAGAATCTGAAACACTTGAAGAGATTGACATTGAAAGTTTGGTAGATGACTTTGCATTTAAATACGCTCGAAGAATGTCTCTTTTTCATGAAATGTACTTTATTAATGAATATATTTGTTTTTGCTATTATGTTCAATATTAACAGAAATTTACTGTAATTTGTTACTATTACCATTATTATTTATGTTTTATTTTTCCTAGTGTTGGAAAGAAAAGGCCCATTTTTTTTGTCGCACCGGGTCTCTAGTCTTCCAGGACCGGCCCTGGTTTTTCATTTTTAATAATCAACAAAGGGTCCTTTTTGACCGAATTAATTGAAAGTCCTTGGTGAGTAGGCACTAGATAGTGTGCTTTTTTGAATAATTTTGGTTAAATGTTCAAAAGCAGGAAATCTTCTACAGTACTACCGCTGGGCTTGATTTGATCGGTAATGGCGATGAATGGGTGCCGGGTGCGTTTAATTGTTTACGGCGGTTGTTCCATAATTTCTGTTTTTCTTATTGGGCTTATTACTTGGGCCGCAATAAAGGACTCGTCGTCCTCCGACCCGGTGAAACCGCGTTACCATAATGCGACCATGACAAACATGGCTTATATAGATGACCGTCTCACGGCCGACTTCGGCTTCACCCTTGCATCCGACAACTCCAAAAAAAACAAAACCGTTGACTTCACCAACTTCACGGCGGCAACTGTACTCTCTTTCGAAAGAGAAGCGGAGGTGCCGACGCCGGTGGCGTGATCCACCGCGTTGCCCGTTCCGTCGCCACTGCTTCCCCGGAGCTTCGACAATGTGATGGCCTTCGGTCTCTATTAGCGTATTGAAGAAGAGGCAAGGAAGAAGATGATCATTTCATATCTCAGAAGTGTTCAGAGTTACAGAGTTTTATATACAAAAATGGAAAAGCAGAATATCAACGTAACTACTCCAACAAACTGAAACAAACTTTACATGGGAAATACTATACTATGTGCTTCTCCATATAGCTTGTATGTGTCTGCATGATTTCAAATATTCAAGTAACATGCGTATGTTAATACCCTCCCTCAAGCTGGATCGTAAATGGAATGAAGACCAAGCTTGGAGATGCTATGTTGAAATGCAGTAGGGTATAAAGCTTTGGTAAAGGAATCTGCCACCTGATTCTCTGAAGGAACAAAGAAAAGTTTGATTAAACCTCCATCAACTTTAATTCTTATAAAATGACAGTCCACCTCGACATGCTTCGTCCTTTCATGAAATGATGGATTTTTGGCTAGCTGAATGGCAGATTGGCTATCACTGTATACACAAAATGGTAATGTAATGTTGGTACACATATCTTTAAGAAGGAATTGAAGCCATTGAAGTTCACAGCTTAAAGAAGCTAAGGCTCTATATTCTGCTTCAGAAGATGATCGTGAGACAATGCTTTGTTTCTTTGATTTCCATGATATAAGAGAATTGCCAAGAAAGACACAAAAACCTGTAATAGATTTCTATGTGGTTGAGCATGTAGCCCAATCTGAATCTGAGAAAGCTTGAATATTAGATGTATTGGAAGATGAATAGAACAAGCCCAAACCAGGAGATGCTTTCAGATATTTAAGAATTCTCAATGCTGCAATGAAGTGTTCATCTCTAGGATTAGAAACAAACTGACTAAGGTGCTGAACTGCAAAGGATATGTCAGGTCTGGTGTTGGTAAGGTAAATGAGTCTTCCAATGAGTCTACGAAAGGATGTAGGATTGTCTAGGAGTGTGCCAGAATCAGGTGTGAGTTTATGAGATGGATCAAGGGGTGTTGAGACAGGTTTGCAATTTGTGAGTCCAAATTCATCTATAAGTTCTAGACAATATTTTCTTTGATTGATGACTAGTCCTTTCTTTGAGCGTGCAACTTCTAAGCCAAGGAAGTATTTGAGGTTTCCAAGATCTTTAATATGAAACTGAGAGTTCAGATATGCCTTAACATGTGTAATCTCATCGAGGTCATTGCCAGATATGATGATGTCATCTACATAGATGAGTAGAAAAGTAATGTTGGTTCCAGATTGTTTTAAGAAAAGGGAGTAATCTGCTGTACTATGATGATACCCGATGTGAGTTAAGGCAGAAGTTAACTTTTGATTCCATTGCCTACTGGCTTGCTTGAGGCCATACAACGACTTGTGTAATTTGCAAACAAGGTCAGATTTTGTGGGTATAAGACTGGGTGGTGGTTTCATGTAAACCTCTTCACATAATTGTCCATGTAAGAAGGCATTATCAACGTCAAGTTGCTGAAGATGCCAGTTGTTGATAGAGATAACAACAAACGAAGAGTGGTTAACTTGGCAACAGGTGAATATGTTTCAAAGAAGTCAATGCCTTCTGTTTGGGTAAAACCCTTGGCTACTAGGCGTGCTTTGTATCTTTCAACAGATCCATCCGGTTTCAACTTGACTTTATAAACCCATTTGCAACCCACAGTTTGCTTTCCTGGAGATAATCTAACTAAAGACCAAGTTTCATTATCTTGAAGAGCTTTTAATTCAGTTGCCATGGCAGTTCTCCAACATTCATGTTGACTAGCTTGTTTGAAAGATTTGGGTTCAGTATGAATGGATAAGGCATTGGAAAAGGCAATATGGTTTTTGGAACATTTGGATAGATCAATGTATGACTCCAGTTTATATGGAGTAGAAGAAGAAGATTTTGATGCCCCATAGTAGTAGGAACTTAAGTATCCTGGAGGTCTTCTGGTTCAAGTTGTAGGAGGATCAGGACAACTGAGATTGGGATTAGGATTATCTATAGTGATAGATGAGGTTGAAGTAGAAGGAATGTTTGAAGGATGTTCAAAAGTGTAGTCATATGGAATGTTGTTGTTAAGATGATGAAAAGGAAAGTCATTCTCACAGAAAATGACATCTCTGGAATGGAAGATGTTTTGATGATGTAAATAATAAAGAATGTAACCTTTGGTTCCGGTTTTGAAACCAAGAAAGATGCACTTGTTGGCTCTTCTGTCCAGTTTAGTTCTTCCTGATGACAAAGTGCTGGAGTAAGCAAGACAGCCAAAAGGTTTTAGAGAGTGAAGGTCAGGTTTTTGTTGATGAATGACTTGAAAAAGAGATTTTTGATGTAAGACGGGAGTTGGTAGTCTGTTGATAATATGTATAGCATGTCTTACAGCAAAGGACCAGAAATTGTGAGGAAGTTGAGCTTGAAAAAGTAAGGCTCTTGTGATATTAAGAATGTGTTGATGTTTCCTTTCAACAATGGAGTTTTGTTGAGGACATTCAACACATGATGTCTCATGTTGTATGTCATGGATTTGATAAAAATCAGGGATGAGAAACTCTTTGCCATTATCTGATCTAATTTGTTTTAAATGGCAATCATACTGATTTTGGATGAGAATGATGAAAGATGTGAGCAATGATCTGACTTCAGATTTAAGTTTCAAGGTGTGGATCCAAGTGAATCCACTGAAATCGTCTACAATGGTTAAAAAATACTTATAACCATCTATAGATGTGGTTGATAATGGTCCCCATATATCAACATGGATTCTTTCAAAAAAAAAACGTTTGGACTGAGTGGTGCTAATAGGATAGGGGAGTTTCATATGTCATAGTTATTGAAAACAGTAAAAGGTATATCCTTATATTGGTGAGAGAGTTCTTTGAGTACAGTATTAGAAACATGCCCTAATATCAAATGCCAAGACATAGAAGAACAATCAGGATGTACATTATCCTTGTTGACTTTATTTATAACATTGGAACTATTGTAAGAAACATTACAAGTGTTAAAGGAAGATTGAAAAGCTAAATTGTTTTTGGAGGGCAGATAGTAAAGTCCTTGAAACTTTTTAGCTAGTCCAATCATCCTCAAAGATTTCTTCTGCAAAATGAAACAATGAGAGTTTGAGAATAGTACAACACAAAAATCAAAAGAGACCAATTTGAAAATGGAAATGAGGTGAGAATGGAACTGAGGGACATATAGAACATGCTGAAGGACTAAACTGCCTATGTTAATAGAGCTAGAATGAGAAGCTGTGACAAAGGATCCATTGGGGAGATTAATATGGATAGGAGAAATGGGATTAATGGAAGGAGAAAAGAGACTTAGATGGACAGATGTGGTCAGTAGCACCACTATCCATAATCCAGAAAGGATGATCAAGAGAGTTACCAGGAAGTAGTAAAGGTCTAGCATTGGTCTGATTGACAGAATATGAGGTTTCTTGTAACACCCCAGCCCCGCCGGACCCGAGGTAGTTACTCCGAACCAATAGTACTGTCCCCACAAACCACCACGAGCCTTTACCGCGCACTTTGTCCTCACTCATGCGCGCCCTGATAAACTTCCCAGGGGGTCACCCATCCCAAGACTACTCCCGTGCAAGCACGCTTAACTTTGGAGTTCTTGGGTAATGAGCTCCCTTAAAAGGAGATGCACATCTGTTGGTATGAGTAGTACTATTAATCCGTTTATATTAAATCTCAAGTGTTACAATCACCCCCACTTAGGATCGCAACGTCCTCGTTGCGCCATTGAACCAATCTCAAATCTCAATCAAATCCCAGAATCTTCCCCCGCTAAGTGCCCGCCCGATATCCAACGGGTCATCACACTGTCGCGGGGTTGCTCTGATACCACCTGTAACACCCCAGCCCCGCCGGACCCGAGGTAGTTACTCCGAACCAATAGTACTGTCCCCACAAACCACCACGAGCCTTTACCGCGCACTTTGTCCTCACTCATGCGCGCCCTGAGAAACTTCCCAGGGGGTCACCCATCCCAAGACTACTCCCGTGCCAGCATGCTTAACTTTGGAGTTCTTGGGTAATGAGCTCCCTTAAAAGGAGATGCACCTCTGTTGGTATGAGTAGTACTATTAATCCGTTTATATTAAATCTCAAGTGTTACATTTCTTGGATGTTGGATTGTTGGAGAAGTGCCATGATACCTTAATATTGCTCTTTAGACAGAGTAAAATGGTCCTGAGGTAGATTATCTGCAGAACATTGCAACAGTGAATTTGCATTAGGATCCATAGAAGCCAGATTAACAGATGATGGATTGGATGCATTGGTCTGTTTTGACTTGTAGCCTGGAGGATATCCATAAATTTGGAAACAAGTATCTTTGGTATGATTGGTTCTTCCACATTGTTCACAATAATGATTTCCTCTGCCTCTCCCTGTAGATGAATTGCGTCCACCACCATGATGATTCTGATAGTTAGGACGAGAAGTAGAAAGTCCTTTGCATGACAGATTGTTATTAGGTTGAGCTTGAGTCATTGCATTAAAGTTGGTGTTACCAATGCTATTAAGTGCAGGCATGGATCCAAATTCTCTTTCATGTTGTAAAACTAGGTTAAAAACTATTGTTATTTAGGATTGATCAACATGATTTGAGATCTAGCGTGAGCAAATTCTTCATTCAGACCACGTAAGAACTTGATGATGTATTCATCTTCTCGTTCTTTTAGAATTTTATTAAGGACTCCACAAGAACAAGTTGTTGCACATTTGCAAACTAGAACAGTGCGATATCGTTCTAACTCTTTCCATAATGTCTACAATCTGGTAAAGTATTGAGTGACAGATGATATACCTTGACGAACTTGTTGAATTTCATCAATTAGGACAGCTTTGCGAAACATTTTGCCATGAGAGAAACGTTCAGAAAGATCTTGCCAGATTTGTGCAGCTGTATCAAAGTAAATGACAGATTCTGCAATTGAGGGAGTCATTGATCTCATAAGCCAAGCCATAACGATACGATTGCACCTTCTCCAAGGTTCGTACAATGGATCGTTAATAGAGGGTGACAGAAAGGATCCATCGATGAATTTGTCTTTGTTCTTGGATTCGAGCATGGCAAGCATTTGATGTCGCCATAAATGATAATTCTTCTCTGTGAGAAGAACCGGAACAAGGACCAATGTCGGATTCTCATTTGGATGAAGGAATAGAGGATTAGAAGGATTGATGAGATGATCCGAAGTAGGATCTGAATTTTTTATGTTAGAATGAGTGGTTACCATGATGAAAACCTAAGAAATCATCAATGGATGCGCAGAGAACGATTATTTACATTTGATACCATATTAGCGTATTGAAGAAGAGGCAAGGAAGAAGATGATCATTTCATATCTCAGAAGTGTTCAGAGTTACAGAGTTTTATATACAAAAATGGAAAAGCAGCATATCTACGTAACTACTCCAACAAACTGAAACAAACTTTACATGGGAAATTAAATACTATACTATGTGCTTCTCCATATAGCTTGTATGTGTCTGCATGATTTCAAATATTCAAGTAGCATGCGTATGTTAATAGTCTCCATGCACAAGACGCGCCTCTTGACGCGTGCAACTCAAAGTTCTTCAAGACTGGGAAGTCGGGGTACAGCACGTTCGGGAATAACATCTATGCAAGCTTAGAGGTGATGTTAATGGCTAGGTTGGGTGAGAAGTCAATGTACGACCGTCTCAAGTACAAGTCTGACCAAGGGTTTGAGGTCAAGGACAGTTGGTGCATATCTTACAGTCTTACTATGGCCGGGATGAGCTACGTTGATTTGGTTTCCTTTTATTATCTAAGACTATGATACTAGAATTATAAACATCTACCATTTTGGTTAGGTGATTATTACTCCCTCCGTCCCACTAAAATTGTCTTGTCTTTTTTTCTTTTAGTGCGTCTCACTAATACTGTCACACACCAAATTTGATAGTATGTATGTAGTTCTAAATCATTCTCACTTTATTTTTAATTTATCAATTCACTATTAATCATATAAACCAGAGGCGAATCCAAGAATTCGAGATACCCTGGGCTGAAAAGCAATTATACTAGGCTTAAACATTAATGGAGTGAGCTAAATATGAAAATTTAAAAAATTTACACTAAAAAAGTTGATTTTTTTAAACTGCCCTGAGCTTCAGTTCACCATAACCCATACATAGATCCCCCCTTATATAAACTCACATTTCTTAATTAGAGCACTACCTCCTCATGTCTCAATGTTAGTGGGATGGAGGTAGTATATATTTACATTTGGTTCTAAATGAACGAACTTCCTTTGCACAAGATGTTTTGATACTATGTTGCCCAATTAAGTTTATGCTTATAAAAGGTATTTCTATTAATTTAATTTGTGTATTTTGGAAACAAGTTATATGAGTTTCATATTAACTGCATTAGTTGCACACATTAAAGATCCAACCTGAAGGGATCTTCTTTAATTTCAATACATGACCCTACCAGACCTGTTTATGTATGATTTAACAACTTATATATTGCATATTGTGATCTAGTTAATAGCCATGCCAACCCGACAAAATTGGATAGTCCAAAAAAATATAACAAACCCACCAGCCCAATGTGGAGCCCTACTTTCGCTCATGCTCGCTCGGGGATGTTTTTTCCCTTATGCTCCATATTCATTTATTTATGAAATATGAAGAAAAAATTAATAACCGACAAGATTACGAAGGTTTGCCATGTGTCGAGATAGGCTCCATATTCATCCCGTTAATGAAAGGGTTGCTTTATGCACCCCTAAACTTACTTGCCGCACCTCTTTTAGACATAAATGCCCACACTCCTTATTTTTCTTTTTAGTTCATATCCGCATAAAATTTTGAGAAGGACTCCTTTATTTTAAAATCAATGCTCCGTGTAATTTTAATTTTAAATTCAAAATAACACTAGGTCAAGCTTAACAATGTAATATTTATAGCTACAGATTTATTTAAAACCGAATCTTGAGGGAAAATAGTTTTGATGTTTAAATGTGTGTGTTTGTGTGTCGATGCAAAAATATCACTAATGTTCCTATAAAGAAGCAAATTTACATTTATTGACTTTAAATAAATAAATAAAAATTTAAAAAAAAACCCAAAAATAAATTATAATTTTAAATTTTGCCATTGAAATATAAAAAATGAAAGACTTAAAAAGGAAGATTTTTTTTTGTTAAAATATTAACTCTATAATTTTTGTACACTATGTGAAATGAAAATGTGCGATGTAATAAATCATAGATGTATTGACATTTTGTGATTAAATTAATTTTTTCTGTCAATTCTAATTGCCCCCATTTTTAAGAAACTTTGTATATGCACCTCAACCCCGTATGAAAAGACAACAATTTCCCTCAATCAGGAATACGTTGAAGGCCAATATTGTTGTTAATAGAGGGACAATTTTGTCTTTTTATATGGGATTGGGGTACAAATACGAAGTTTTTTAAAACAAGATGAAAGTCTAATTTGGACAATAAAATGAAATGCAAATTCAAACTACCCCAATATTTTATCTACTATTTTAAATAGCATCAACAAACATCTTTATATTGATACTAAAATAAATACAGAGGAGAAAGTAATATAGCATCAATAAAGTGATAAACAATATTAATAGAGTTAAATAACTCTAAAACTGACTATAGTTTTGAAATAAAGATATTAATTTATCAATTTCTAAAGTTTTTTTTAAACCAAATTTCTAAAGTTTTTATTAAAATATGAATACACTTTATTGAGAAGTGTTACTTATTAATATACGGAGACTTTCAAAACATATATATACGGAGTCCTGGAGCAGTAAGACTCCGTAATAACCCTACTGCAAAAAATGTAAACACAAGGAATGACGGTTACGAAATACATAGTACAAAAGAAGTTATGCATGGGTATAATTGTCCACAACTGTTCAAAAATAGGTGCGCAAAGAAATACTTGCGGTGCGCCAAGAAGACCCGTAATGAAAAAGTGGATTGTATCCCTTAAAAAATGGACACGTTACTCGAGTAGAAGGCCGGTGCAAGTGAGGTGGATAAATGGACATTTAAAATAAAGGAATCGTTTCAATGCAATCATGGATGCACAAAATTAGTCACACGTAGTATGCCCGAAGGACAAAAGAGAAAAGGAAAAAATCATTAAATCAACCAATGGAATAATTTTACTTGCGGCAAATACTTCTGTAGCAAACAAAATTGATGACTCAAACTATGGAAAAGGCCTTCTGAGAATCCATAGAGAAGTAGAAGGTTTGCCATCTAATGCATTCCAAGTCAGCAGTCCATTTCGTTTCTACATCACCATTGGAGCAATTAATTAACCTCAATGTGTATTTATTTGACGGGGCAATCCATTTTTACCTAATTCACGATCCCATTAAAGATGCTCTTATACCGTATGATCGGCAACCTACTCCCACACATTAAACAACATAGTTTTACGTTAAATTTTGCACTCCCTCTTCAATATATTCTTTGTTTGCACCCCCTTTAGTATCTTCTGTGTTGCACTATCGATCATTTCATTCATTTTCCTATAATTTTGTGATTATATCTTTTATTTTCTTCAATTCTTTTCTCCTTCTCCATTAAAATACTTTTATTGTGATTTTAATTTTTTTTATCTTGAAAATTTCAATTGATTTTGTTTTGTAATACTCCTGTTCCCAAAAAAACTTCTCACTTTCCTTTTTGGGTCATTCCCAAAAATTCTTCTCACTTTCCCTTTTTGGACAATTTGTGTGCTCACATTCATTTTACCTTTTTCTTACACAACCACAGCCATACATTTCCACTTTCTTGCACTTTCTTAATAGGCGTGCCAAGTCAAACCAGGAAGGATTTTTAGGAACGGGGTAGTATTTTTTTTATTCACACTCATTTGTTTTTTCTCTTTTATACGTAGTATGTTTTTAGTGGTTTCTTAAGTTATCGAGTTTGTTTATTTCGATTCAAATTTAATACTCCATATAACATAAAATTATATTTCATATGTGCGATTTACATTTTCATATGTGAAAGTTATTTTTATACACGATTCCTAGATTTACATTTGATAGTACATGGGGTAACATCTTATCCGCAATTTACATGTTCAATTCATTTGCGCAAGCTACAACTTATGTGCGGTATACATTTTCACGTGAACGAGTTACATTCTGATTTGGCTTAACACGTTACATTTTGCATACACGCGAATTACATTTCGACTTGTCTTGAAGTTACGGCTAGTATACACGCTATTTACATATGAAGAACTGGAGCATACTTTCAAGAATAGGTCTCACAAAAAGTTTATGAGTGAATCCTTTTGCTTAACTGCTCAAGACGGCCGACCACTTCAAGTGAGTTGCACCATTTTAAATGATACTTTCAAAACATTTGAATTACTTGCCGAAGATCAATTAAGTACCTAGGACAATCAGCTAGTCTTATCAATGAGTTAAGCAAATTTATTTAAACATGTCAAAAACATAAAAATGCTTTTGAAAGAAGCATTTCATTGAATAATGATAATCCAAAAACACTTTTGAAGCATTATAAACTGATAAGTAAAAGGTGTTTAATGTTTATAGTAGATCCGCGTTTATGTAAATCCCCTTTCTTCAAACCAAACCTTACAAAAGTAGGTTAAAATCTAATCCCTTGACTGGTAACAGAAAACAAAGTGTTTGGGAAGTGGGATGTATTAATGGACACTAGACAGCTCATAATTCTCATGCAAAGAGATGTTTAGTTGCAGTCCATTTAGACTTCAAGCTCAGCTCCACCTTGTTTTTATCCTGTTCCATCTTAGCCTTCTTTGATTCAACTTTCCGAGCATGTTCCTTGGCAAGAGAACAGACTGTCACCATCTGCTTTGACAACACTTCTCTTTCGTCTTCGAGTTTTCGACAATTGCATTCCATTGCCTCGAGTTGAGCTTCCAACTCCGTTTCTTTCTTATTTAGCCCTTCCAATTCAGTCTTTAATCCCTCCTCTGTCTTCAGTAGTTCTTCAAGAAGGGTTTTGGTTTTCTCAAGAGTGGACCAGGGATACTCACTACTCCCACCCTTAACATGTAGGAAAGTGTTGTTCAGTGAGGAAAAATATTTCAATACTGCAGCTTCGCTCTCAGGACTAGCTAAATCATCCAGAGGGGATGATATCAGTATGTCAAGGAGTTCTTTAAAATGAGTTGCATTTCCTTTAAGCAAAGACATTTCAAATGTTGAAGCACTATTAGGAGGTACAGAGGTGGACAGTTTCTTGGGTCGCAGGGACTCGAGAAAAGCCTGACCCTGGGCATAGGCAGTTTCTGCATGATCAAAATCAGCAACAGAAGAATCTAA